CCTTCGATGGATCTCCCTATGGGGCCACGAAGCGTGTGAGGGGTGCGCCAACAGGGGTGGCGGGGACGCATGTGGGCACCGCCACTGGGGCCTTCGGTGGAGCTCCCTATGGGGCCACGAAGCGTGAGAGGGATGTACCGGAATGTGTGCAGGGGGCACATGCGGGCGGTGGCACTGAGGCCTTCGGTGGAGCCCCCGATGGGGCCACGAAGAGCGTGAGGGGCGTGCCTAAATGGGAGTCGGGGACGCATGCGGGCGGTGGCACCTGGGCCTTCGGTGGAGCTCCCCATGGGGCCACGAAACGTGTGAGGGGTGTGCCGAAATGGGCGTGGGGGACGCATGCGGGCGGTGGCACTGGGGCCTTCGGTGGGGCCCCACATGGGACCACGAAAAACGTGAGGGGTGTGCCGAAAGGGATGTGGGGGACGCATGCGGGCGAAGGCACTAGGGCCGTCGGTGGAGCTTCCGATGTGGCCACGAAACGTGAGGGGAGGAAAAGGGGTGGGTGGGGGACGCATGCAGACGGTGGCACTGGGGCCTTCGGTGGAGCTCCATATGAGGCCACGAAGCATATGAGGGGTGTGCTGGAATGGGCGTGGGGGACGCATGCGGGCGGTGGCACTGGGGCCTTCGGTGAGGCACCTAATGGGGTGTCACAAAATAGGTGTGGGGGGTGCATGCGTGCGGTGTCACTGGGGCCTTCGGTGGAGCCCCCTATGGGGCCACGAAACGTGCGAGGGGTGTGCCGAAATAAGTGTGGGGGACGCATACGGGCGGCGGCTCTGGGGCCTTCGGTGGAGCTCCCATGACGAAATGGATGTGTGGGGCGCATGCGGGCGGTGGCAATGGGGCCTTCGGTGGAGCTCCCGATGGGGCCACGAAGCGTGTGAGAGGTGTGCCGAAATGGATGTGTGGGGCGCATGCGGGAGGTGGCACTGGGGCCTTCGGTGGAGCTCCCTATGGGGCCACAAAGCGTGTGAGGGGTGTGCCGAAATGAATATTGGGGACGCATGCGGGCGGTGGCACTGGGGTCTTCGGTGGAGCTCCCTCTGGGGCCACGAGACGTGAGGGGTGTGCCGAAATGAGGGGGGGGGGACGCATGCGGGCGGTAGCACTGGGTCCTTCAGTGGAGCTCCCTATGGGACCACGAAACGTGTAAGGGGCGTGCAAAATTGAGTGTGGGGGACGCATCCAGGCGGTGGCACTGGGGCCTTCGGTGGAGCTCCCTATGGGGCAACGAAGCGAGTGAGGGGTGTGCCGGAAGGAGTGGGGGGGACGCATGCGGGCGGCGGCACTGGGGCCTTCGGTGGAGCTCCCTATGGGGCAACGAAGCGAGTGAGGGGTGTGCCGGAAGGAGTGGGGGGGACGCATGCGGGCGGTGGAACTGGGGTCTTCGGTGGAGCTCCCTCTGGGGCCACGAGACGTGAGGGGTGTGCCGAAATGAGGGGGGGGGGGACGCATGCGGGCGGTAGCACTGGGTCCTTCAGTGGAGCTCCCTATGGGACCACGAAACGTGTAAGGGGCATGCAAAATTGAGTGTGGGGGACGCATCCAGGCGGTGGCACTGGGGCCTTCGGTGGAGCTCCCTATGGGACCACGAAACGTGTGAGAGGTGTGCCGAAATAGGCGACGGGGGACGCATGCGGGCGGTGGCTCTGGGGCCTTCGGTGCAGAAATGGATGTGGGGGACGCATGCGGGCGGTGGCACTGGGGCCTCTGGTGGAGCTCCCTATGGGGCCACGAAACGTGTGAAGGGTGTGCCGGAATAGGCGACGGGGGACGCATGCGGGCGGTGGCTCTGGGGCCTTCGGTGCAGAAATGGATGTGGGGGACGCATGCGGGCGGCGGCACTGGGGCCTTCGGTGGAACTCCCGTGCCGAAATGGATGTGGGGGGCGCATGCGGGCGGTGGCAGTGGGGCCTTCGGTGGAGCTCCCTATGGGGCCACGAAGCGTGTGAGAGGTGTGCCAAAATGGATGTGTGGGGCGCATGCGGGAGGTGGCACTGGGGCCTTCGGTGGAGCTCACTATGGGGCCCCGAAACGTGTGAGAGGTGTGCCGAGATGGTTGTGGGGGACGCATGCGGGCGGTGGCACTGGGGCCTTCGGTGGAGCTTCCCACGGGGCCACGAAACGTGTGAGGGGTGTGCCGAAATGGGTTGCGATGATGGTGTTCGTGACGGCGATGCTGATGATGATGATGATGATGATGATGCTGATGATGATGATGCTGATGATGATGATGCTGCTGCTGCTGATGATGATGATGATGATGGTGATGATGATGATGCTGATGATGATGCTGATGAGGATGAGGATGATGATGATGATGATGATGACGATGATGATGATGATGATGATGATGCTGATGATGATGATGATGATGCTGATGATGATGCTGATGAGGATGATGATGATGATGATGATGATGATGATGATGATGATGATGACGCTGATGATGATGATGATGATGCTGATGCTGATGATGATGATGCTGATGATGCTGATGATGATGATGATGATGGTGATGATGGTGATGATGATGATGATGATGCTGATGCTGATGCTGATGCTGATGCTGATGCTGATGCTGATGCTGATGCTGATGCTGATGCTGATGCTGAGCTGATGCTGATGCTGATGATGATGATGATGATGATGACGATGACGTCGATGGTGATGATGCTGATGACGACGATGACGATAACGACGACGACGATGCTGATGATTATAATGATGATGACGACGATGAGGGCAGAGACAAGGACGGGAAGGAGGGGGAGGCAGAGAGGAGAGGAGAGGAGAGGAGAGGAGAGGAGTGAGGGACGCGGGGCGCTGTCTCTTCAAAACGAGGACCCAACACAACAGGATGGTTGCGAAGAAGTTGTTTGAAATGCTTCGGATGCCAGTGCTTTTGAACAGATTTCGACACGAGCTCGTGACGGCGCGCGCGGGTGGCCCGCATGGTATGATGTGATACGGATTCGTGCAGTGGTCGCATGCTAGCTTAACTCAAAGGCACCGTGAGGTGGAATGAGAATGCGGGTTCTGGACGAGATTGCTAAACCCATCTGGTTTTCCTCTGAGTTCTGCAAGTGCGCGCGGGCAAAGAATCTGCAAGATTCTTGACTGGAAACCAATAGGCTTCTATGCTTGTACGTTGAAGTGCGTGCAACGTTAATGTATTCGGTATGATTGTAACCTGTGCGCGCACGCATGAACTTCGTGTTATTGTTCGCAAGTGCCTATTGCAAAAACTATTTTTGAGACGAACGAATGCGCGCGAATAGTATCATTTGACAGGGACGGTGGGAGGGTCGATACCAACCTGTATGGGGTGGTCCGATTTCAACTGGAAAATGAACGAAAAAGCATAACATATGAAAATCACGGCGTCCCAGAGGGTACCGATAAGTTCGGGGGGGAGGAGGTAGTAGAGTCTTTTCCTCTCTCGAAAGGAAAATGTGTGCCCTGTGGTTGATGCCCTGTGGTGCCCTACATTGGTGGCGCCCTATGGCGTTGACGCCCTATAGTTACTGCGGCAAAGAGGAAACCCTAAGGCAACCAGAGGGTATCAATACATAGGCCACCAGACCACCCATCTGAGGAGAAAAAAAAGCTTCGATGAAGTTGGCATCACGCGGTGCGCCTGGCCAGGTTCCCAGGAACTCCCCCACCCATTACGACCCCAAGATCCCCCAGAGGATCCCCCGAGGCCCCCCAGAAACCCCCTGAGGAGCCTAAAAGCAACCATGGCACGGTGGCGGGATAGGCCGATCCTCCTTCTCCTCCCTCTCGTCCTTCTCTCTCTCTCTTCTCTTCCCCCTAAGTGTTCCCCTATGGGGTCCAGAACGACTGGGGGGGGCTCAGAATCCAATACTTCAGCCAAAGTTTAACCAATCGTTTGGCCACATCGGCGTTTCCAAAAGGCAGGAGGCGGCGGTGGTTCGCCGTGGGCGTCTTCGATGAGCTGAGGCCGAGCAGGGTCTGACCATGCTGCTCCATAGTGTGGTTCGATATTTCAGGGTCCATTCGTAATCCGGCTGATACTTGCACTGCGGCGAGACTAAGGCCCATCAATGACCATAGCATGAAAACCAAGAGTAGTCAAACCGTATGCAATGCGGTGGCGTGGTAACTGCCCAGATGATACTGCGCCGCTTCCTTGGGCCAAGATGGAAACTGAGCAGGGGGGGAAGAAGAGCACGAGTGGGAAGAGGAAGAGGACGGGAGGAGAAGGATCGAGGAGGGAGAGGGCCGTGCTCACAGACACGTTGGCGCTCAGTGGGAACGCTGGTGCTTACAAGCGCAGTGGTGCTGACAAGTACTGCGGTGCCCAGGGGGGGGGGGGTAATGCTTCGTCCCTCATCCTTTACCCTCCGTCCCTCCCTTCCCGTCACGCATCCCTCCTCCCCCCCCCCTCCTCCCCCTTCTCCGCCTCGGCCTCCTTCTCCCCCTCCTTCCTGCTCCCGCTCCGCCTCCTGCCCCTCGCCCGCTCGCTCGTGCAAGAGCCTGGGCGCGCGGCGCCGCTCGGTCCCTCGTCATCGTCGAGGCCGTCTCGCAGGAGGGCGCCAAACTGCTCGCCTGCACCGATCCTGGCCGGGCCCGTCCCGGGCCCAGGATCGGTGCACACCCCCGAACCGACCCTGGGCTCTCCCACCTCCGCCCGCCGCCCGCCCTTGACCTTCCAGGAGGGCTAAAAAATGGCACCAGACACGAAAACCTACCCCGAGTAGGGGGCCACGTGCGAACCCTACCCCTACCCCCCACGATTTCTGAGGGGGAGGGTGGGGTTCACTTCGCTCGGGAGCTACCGAACGAAGTGAACCCCACCCTCGCTCTCAGAAATCGCGGGGGGAAGGGGTAGGGTTCGCATGTGGCCCCCCACCGAAGCTATTCTGCGTCTTGGCCTTAGGATGTTTCGTTCAGTTTCTTTGGTTTTTAGGCCTCCAGTGCTAAAAAATAACTCTCTGGAAGGTCAGGGACCGCACCGCGCTGGGCTCCGTGGCGCACCCGGCCGCCCCGGCCGCGCGGCCCAGGGCCCGCCGCTCCCCGCACAGGCGGGGGGGCCCGCCGCCCCGGGGGCGGGCCGCAAGGACCTCGGCGGGTCTCGGCCGAGGCAGCGGGGCGAGGGGGGAAGGCAGGGGGGGGCGGGGGGACTGGGAGGATGCAGAACCAGCAAGATGGGGACTGGGACTGGGCGGCTGGGAGTGTGGTGGAGGGGAAGGACGCCGTGGGAGTGCCAGCGAAAGGTGGAGAATGGAGCAGAGGGAATAGAGAAGGACAGGGGCCCGTGCTAGGAAGAGGGAATTATCCATCACCAGCACCACTTCTACGCAGGGCAACGTGTTCCCAACATCAACTTATGGATACGTGGAGGTGGATACTGCCACATCCCACTGCGTGAGGGGATCCAAGGAGGCCCACTGGACCGCAGGGCTACCTGCCTAAACTCGCGGGGGCGGGGCAGCGGGACTCGGTGGCCGCTGCCAGCTGACAGGGAGGACAGCGGCAGAGCTGATCAAGAGTTCATCAAACAGTTGGGCACCAGCGTGACACAGATCTGCCCATCCACCAACCGCTCCTGGGCGGGAGTGGGGAGGACCATGTCTCCCCAACTAGGGGAGTAGGTGCAAAGGCGTGCCAAGGAGGGCCCAGGGAGTGCACGGCGACCATAACAGCCCAACGACAAGATCATGGTGCTGCTCTGATGGCCTCAGACAGCGGGGTCCTGCCGCAACGGCCCAAGAGGCTTCCGAAAAACAGCCCCCTTCCCAAAACAGGCGAAAAAGTCCCAAAGAGGGCCTAAGGAGGGGTCCAGGTCAGCCTGAGATAACCTCCAGGAGAAGCACGTGACGGCCCAAGAGGCCGCGAAGTCCGCCCAAGACGACCACCCCCCGAAGACTGCTCCGAAAGGGCCGACACCGGAAGCACAGAGAGGACCGGAAAGGCCCTAAGGCACCCAAAGAGGAGCTGCAACACGTTCCCTTCCCTCGGCCCCTCTCTCTCTCGCCTGTCTGTCTTCTCCTCCCCCTCCTCCTCCTCCTCCTACTACTCCTCCTCCTCCTCTTCTTCCTCCTCCTCCTCCGCCTCCTCCTCCTCCTCAATATCGTCATCCCCCTCCTCCTCGTCATAGTAAGGCCACCGAACCATGAGCTCTGTCCACGCGTGTCCGCACACCACTAAATCTGCATGGAGTTCACTTAAGTCGCGAGAGTTCCCCAATCGGCAGCAACCAGGGCAAGCGAGGTATCATTTCGACCGCACTCCGCTGAACTTCGACGGACTCCCGAAAGTGGCACCCGTTGCGCAGATGGCAGCGCCAAGAGCAGGCGAGGTCTCAATGGCAGATGGCAACGACCGAGGCAGGTGACGTCTCTTTTGAATCTGGATGAGGCCACGCCGCGCGGCAGGTGCCAGGAGCTCAAGAGGGCGGCGACAGTTGCCAGCAGCTCAAGACAGCGGCAGCGATGGAGGCAGCGACGGCAAGCAGGAGGAGAGGAGCAGCAACCCTGTTCTCAGAGCGAATGTTCAACGCAGGAGAAGGATGGTGAGGAGAGGAGCAGCAATCCTTTACTCAGAGCGAACATTCAATGTGGCAGGGCTGGGGGCTGGGACTTCAGGGGTCGGCGGATGCGGCGTCTGTCTAATGAACCATGCGAGGAGGAGGAGGAGGAGGAGGAGGCGGCAGAAAGAAAGGGGGGAAGGTGAAGAGGGAGGAGAGAGCTGGAAGGAGGAGGCAGGATGTCAAGGGGGAGGTAGGTTGAGAGTATGGGGGACAAGACGGGGAGGCATCCGAAGAGTATGGATGAGCAGAAGGAAAAGCGAAGGAACCACACGAGAAGGAGAAAGGGGAGAGAGCAGGGGAAGAGAAGGAACATGATGAGGTAGAGGAGGCGGGGGAATGAGGAAGAGGTGGATGAGGAAGAGCAGGGGGACGAAGAGGAGAAGGGCGAGCACGATAAATCGCGGGTGGAAGGTCTGAGAGACGCACAGGGGGGGCGGGGGGGGGGAGCGAGAGAGGGAAAAGGAGGAGGCCAAGGAGAGACGAGGGGGAACGGCGAAGACGAAGGGCGAGCTGGGCGAAAGGGGAGAACGACCATGAAGAGGGCAGGAGGGCGGAGGAGCGGCAGGGGCGGCAGGAGCAGAGGGCGGCGGGACGAGGGCGCCCCTCGCCCGCCGCCTCCCTCCCCCCGGCTCTGGGGCCCCCGCGCGCACCACGAAGGCCTCCACGCTGTAGGCGGCGGCCGCGGCCACGAGGGTCACCAGGCAGGCAAGGCCGACCTCGCTCGCCGGCGGAAGAGGGGGAGCGAGGGGCACGGGGAAGAGCGACGCGTGCCGCTGCCGCGCGTGGAGGAAGAAAGGCGGCACGCACATGCAGCCGGACCCAGGCCAGAAGAACATCCCCCGAGAACACACTGAGCATGCAAGGGTACCCTCTCCAGGATGCACAAGGGCATCCCACAGACGCGCAGAACACCAGGGCACCCTCCACGAATCGACCTCGATCTCAGACCTCGGTCAGACTGTGCGCATCCACTTTCGAAGGTCCACAAGAGCTTCTCGGCTCGGCGCCGGACTCCGCGGCACCAGAGGCGCCGCAGCCGCAGAGCTCGGGGCCCACAGGGCTGAGAGTGGGCACCGCCGCTTCGCTACACGCAGAGCTCGGGGCCCACAGCGCTTTCTGTGCAGCCCGTTGCTACACGCCAGGCTGAGCAACGGGCTGCACAGAAAGCCCCCGGTCGGAGCAGCACAGAGCCGCCGGGGGCCACGGCGGGTCCCAGGGCACTCGGCATGGCTCGCGCAGGGCCTGCAGGGCCTGGTGCAGGACCGGCTGGCCCTGCAGGGCAGGGCAGAGGCCCGGCTGAGCTCTGCGGGCGGCCTCATGCACGACTGGCCCGTCGGCAGCGGGAGGGCACGGCTGGACTGCCTGGCCGTGCATGCCGGCCTCGTGCAGGACCATCGGCGGCGGCGTGCGGTCAAGTCATGCTGGCATCAGTCGCGCTGCCGTTGCCACTGTGCTGATCAACGACGTGCCGAGCGTGACACGCGCAGTGATCGCACAAAACGACTGCAACGAAGGCAGGAGAGAAGGAGAAAGGCGGGAAGCTCAGAGCTCGCGAAGCAGCCAGTGGACACACCTGCGCATGCAGCGCCTGATCACGACAGCACTCCAGACACCCGTCGATGCGTACTGGTCTCGACCTGCTTCCCATTGGCGTAGTACACGTCACATTGCCTGGCAAATCCGTACCTATCAATGTCGCGTTGCTGTGAACCGTCGAGCTGATCGCAGAAACGCTGTCCAAAGATGCACCACTTGTAAATGTTAGAGCCGTGCGGCCGCTCATTATCGCTCAGCTCGGCCCCGAGGTGTTGCTCGGAGACGTGTCACACGTAGAATTCAGATGGTCGTGCAGCTGGTTGCCGTCGTGCTGCTTTTCCCCGCAATGGGGCTCAGAGGTGGATGTCGAAGTCGTGTTTCTGCTCGTCGTCGTGCCGACGCTAGTCCCCGAGGTGCGTCTGAGAGACGTGCGACTCGGAATGTTAGAGGTGTGCTGCCACGTTCCGACGTGGAGGCGGTCCATGCGGCTGAGAGGCAAGCCACATTAAGTCATGCGACTTCTTATCTTCGTGCAGCTGGTCCCCAGGTGCGTCTGGGAGTGATGTGTCGCTCGAGAATGTTGGACCCGACGTGGCGCCCATCCACAAATTGCGGCTGAGGGACATGCCACATGTGAAAGTCGGAGCCGTGGTCCTGCTGGTGTTGCTTTCCGTCGCGGATCTGGTTCCCGCGGCGCCACTCGGATACATGACACATTTTGATGTCGGAGTTGCGCTGCAGTTCAGCATCGTGCTCAAGGTCCCCGATGGGTTGCTGTGAAGAGCGTCCGTGAGGACGTCGGAGTCATGCTGCTGGTCACCATCATGCTGGTAGCTCCCGAAATGCTGTCCAGAAACGTTATCCGTGAGAATGTCGGCGTCGTGCTTCTGCTGTCTAGCGTCGGCATGACATAAGATGTGGTCATTATTCGCCGCGCCGTCGTGGACGCGAAACTGAACATTGCGCGTCGCAGGCCAGCAACAATGAGATAGTAGACCTCCTATCACAGAGATATGATACTTCGCCAACAGGATGCAGCAAACTGCGGTGCTAGCCACGAGGACAGTACCCCACCATAAAATCAAACTGATCCTCTGACTAATCCAAATCAGCTGTATTGTCGCAGCTATCTCACCGCACGTAGGAGATTCAGACCAGACGTGTACCCAAAGGCGGCAATGGGACGTCCCAAAATGGGTGCTGCAGGCGTGCGATGACACTGCTGTGCAGCTCCGAAAACCGAGCCGCGAAAACCGCAAGCCGTCGCCTGAGAGGCGACGAAGGGAACGAGCAGTCACACCGAGCAACTGAATAAGACAGTTTGGCCGGCCGCGCAGAGGACCAGGCCAACGCTCACTCCCAAGTGATGCACCAACCTTGCTACCTGAACGTGTTGTCAAATATAGTCAGCCCGTGTAATAAGGACGCACGTAAGAATGCCAGGGCCTTGGAAGGCCATTTCGCAGCTTTCCGAGCGGGGCGCGGCCGACAAAAGCGGCCAAGGATGGACCGAGGAGGCAAGGATGCAAGGGTACCCTTGGGAAGGTTGCTCATCCCTACAAAGCGGGTTGACTGTACCCTTCATGGCCCAGAGCCCGCGCGGCAGCCATCAGGTCGCGAAACGCGCGCTCAACTGCGACCGCAAGAAAAGCAAAGGGAGACGTCCTGCGCGGGACGAGAGAAGCAACCGAGACAAGATAGGGGAGCGGCCGAACGGTGATAAATCATTGGTGGAAGTCTGACTGGTCGTCCGTTGTCAGACGGTCGTGTAAATGGACGTCACGGTAGGGGTGGCGGAGGTCTGCAGCGTGAAAGTTGGGCACTCCACCCCAACGTGTGTGACAGAAGCGCCACTGGGTGACAACTGGCAAAGATCCAGGCGAATGCGTCCGTCAATGAAGCTGGTGTACGCGGCGCCAGCGCTCCACTTGCAAAAGAATTGGCTGCACGACTGGCGCTGATCGCCTGTAAGATCTGTGGACCCAGGTCGTACGTGTCATGGTATGACGCCTGGCGGTAGCAGTCACTGCCACTAAGGACGAGCGGGCCTGCGTCAAACGTCGCACGTCGGCGGGCCCTGCGCTTCTCCGATCAGCCCAAAGGCCAAGGCAGCCAGGACATCCAGGTTCTCGAATTCGACTGGTCAAGTCCACCGCAGATGGTGGTAGCCAATTTGGCGAATGGATGCCAGGGTGATGTCGGCGCCGACGAAGAACATCAAGCCCTAGCATCGACGTAGGGTGTGTGCCATGGCTGCGTGTGCCATGGTACGATACTGCAGGGTACGCCCGCGCCTGGCTGCATGACAGAAGTGGGGGCCCGAAACATGATCACATTGTGGCCCATGACGGCCAAAACAAAACACCATGAGACTCTCATGACGTTATCGTTTTGTTTTTAACAAATCATCGATCCGCAGTTCATTTGCCTGTCGCAAGTTCTGCTTCTACGATACCCCACTGAGCTCACAGACGGCGTCCAGATAACTCCGGGGTGGCCCCTAGAGAATTCACACACGAACGCAAATACACACGTTGTTCCGCCGGCGACGTGGCACGGTTTTGCGAACGCAAGGCTGAGGGGACGCGTTCACGCGACTTGCATCCAGCATTGTGGGTGGTTATGAGGCCGAACGGACAGGGCAGACCCCGACCAGCGAGAGTGCAAAATAGACGGCTTAGAGCTCGCATCCCAGGTATGGAAGAGTCGTAAAACCCGCAGTGGGCAGACACGGTGGCGCGAGGCGGTGTTCAGGCCAAGGCGGGAGGTGCACCACGGCGGGTGCAGGCGTGTGGCGGGAGGTAAAACACCGCAGGCGGGAGCAGCAGGGTGCCGAGAGAAAGGGCCGCTGACGGATACCTGCGGCTAAACTGTGGGTGCATTTCCCGTGCACCGAGAGAACGAGGCACATGAATGGCGGCCGTAGCGAGCGCGGCCAGACGAGCAAGGGAGGAGCAAAGACACCCGCACACACACACACACACACACACACACACACAACAAACAAACAAACAAACAAACAAACAAACAAACAAACAAACAAACAAACAAACAAACACACAAACACACACCTATATATTTATATATACACGCACACCTACATGCATACATAAACGCATGCATGCATGCATGCATGCATGCATACATGCATGCATACAAACATACATACACCGTTAAATACATGCACACAAACATACATGCATACATACATGCATGCATACATACATGCATGCATACATACATACACATGCATACATATGTATACATGCTTGCACGCATACATGCATATATATATAATTATATACATACGTGTAAACATGCATACATACGTGCATGCATGCATACATACATACCTGCATACGTTTTCTATATAAATATGTCTGTACATGCATACATACCTACATACATACATACATACATACATACATACATACATACACACATACGTACATACATACATACATACAGCATACCCATATACATACACACATGCATGCACGCATGCATGCATTCACACATACATACATACACCCATACATACAGACAGACATACATACATACATACATGCATGCATGCATGCATACATACATACATGCATGCATGCATGCATGCATGCATACATACATACATACATACATACATGTGTTTACATCTACAGTTACAGTTATATTTACATGCAAACGTACATGCACATGTGCAGTTACACTTACATTTGCATGTACAATTACATGCACAATTTACGTCGCAACGCGGCAAAGGCGATCCGCACGCGCGCTCTAGTAGGCTGGGAACGGGCGAACGACTTGTCCGGCTGAAAGGGGGGGGGGCGGAGGGCGGCAGCGGAAGCGGGTGAAAGCGGGCAGGCGGTCACTGCACAAAGACCTTCGTCAGGAGTACCCGGTGCGTTCAGCCTGCACTGAGGCACCCTGGCAATGGACGCGGAGCGACATCATGGCCACACCCAAGGGTGAGGCAGAGGCTGCAGACGCAGGAAGCGTAGACCAGCTCGGATCAATAGAGGACAAGGAGCGGCGAACGAGCCCACAGGAGGGGGCGGCATCCAGGTGTTCGTCAGGAAGCCGTGGGCGACAGGCTTTGCTGCGGGTGCGGCGCAAGCGGGATGCGGGAAGGAAATGCTGCTATACCGCCAGGATGAGCTGCTGAGAGCAGAGCTGCAGC